TTTATCTTAATACATTCTAAAAATTGTAGATCATCTAAAGGATCGGATTTAACCAAAGTTGCTGGCTTTACAAGTGTATTCCAAAACCTTTGATTGAACTTTTCTCTTGGTTTATTCTCATCACTTATTTTGCTGGTTCTATCTTCTATGGCCTGATTAAAAAAATTGGACCACATGCTCTTCAAGTTTTTTTGTTTCTATTATCATAGAAAGCATAAAAGCTTGATGGTTTTCTTCTATCTTTTTCCATTCAATATCAAACAATTCATCACGTTTAGACTTAGAAAAGATTTTTTCAAAATCCTTAGAAGTTTTATCTTTATTTTCCTCAAGGATTTTTTCAACAGCCTCACCGATTTTGTCTTTAGCCAATTTAATTAACTGGGATTCTTTGGATTATTGCTGCCTTTTTGTATATTTTGCCTCAAGATTTCGTTTTTCCAAAAAGAATGCTGAATTGATATGGGTAATACCTTCATCAATTATTTTAGGATTATATTGATTAGAGACTTTTAGCCAAAAATCAGCAAGTGCTTGAGAGAGATATTTGTTGGTTTCTTGATCAAGACACTTTTCAAACATTATATCATCATTTTTGGTCCATTGATTCAATTCAGTTCATTCATCTATTAATTTTAACCCAGCTACTTTGTAGGATTCTAATAAAGTCTCATCATAGCTATTAACAATCTTTTTTATTGCATTCCATTGTTGTATATCTTTAGAATTTTTAAAATGAAGAAAATTTCCACGTGCATCAATTTCTTTTTAAATAGACTGCAAATGTATAATAAAACCTTGTAGAAAGATAAGTCTTCCTGGAATTTCTTGAAACATCTTTCATAAATTTTCCCTTATATCACAAAATGCTGGACTCTGAGTACTTCTGGCATCTTTCATGTCACGTAATACAAAATTTATTCTTGGCTTAGAATCCCATTGGCTGAGGGTATTCAGATGATAAGAAGATACCTCAAGAATATCAGAAATATTATGTGTGAGACCTTTAGTATTAACAATTAAGATTTGTGAGTACATTAAGGCCAAAAGAGTCATTTTTTTATCAAAATCTGTGGCATCTTGAGATGTATTTCTGGGCGGTAGAACCCATTTCCTCAGAATCTATGATAAGAATATCTAATTCTTTTCCACTATAAATAGTATACCTATATGATATGTATGCATCTATCAAACATAAATAAAAAATATTGTTAAAAGTTGATTACTAGAATGAGAAAACATGCATATCAATAATGTAGATTTTCTAGAACTTTCAAGTCCAATAACTAAAAGAACAATTAACTGTTATTTATTGTCAGATATAATATTACTTAAAACTGTTGAAAGAAAATTAACATCCAGTGTTCTAAGAGATATGCCTTCCAAAATCTGAATCGATTCACTCTCACAAATCCAGGTTCTGTATCCGTTTTCAAGTTCTCTAAATTAAAATTGAATATCCATGGTGATTAGCTTTAAAACTTATCCAAATTATAATGTTTTTTAATACTTATTTAACTTTGAGACCATATATCGCCTCTAAGATCGTTAAATGATCATCCCATTGTTTTATTTTAGGCATAATAATAAACTCTCTTCAAAAATCATGAATCATTATATCTCTGTCTTCTATTTTTTGCTTAATCTCTTCTCTATGAGTACCAACATGTTCTTTTTGAGCCAAATTATAGAGATATGTTTTAAAGTACATGTCCGCTTGCTGAGCAAATTCATGCATCTTACAAATACTATTTTTTCTGATTATTTGTGCAAAATGTGAAAGAGCAGGAATTTGATCAACAATGTTCTTTTGTTGATCTTGAAACTTTACAATTTTAGAATTAATTTCATTCTCCATTCTATAATCTTTATGATCCTCAAAGTTTTTAGATGAGTTTTATCCTTAAGATTTCAATCACGTTTGAACAATGGGAGGCCTAGAATATGTCTGCTCGACAATTAAATTCTGATTGTGCAATTAATATCATGGCTGATTATAAAATTGGATTATTGTGAAATTTGGGATCTCAATTTGAAAATATAGGCCCTACCAAAATCTACCAATACTCTTTTATTAAAAAC